TTCTACAGTAGGTGTCTGTAAGTTGTTAGTGATAAATTCAACAAATATATGAACAGCATGTATTCACTTCTTTTCAAAATAGTATATATATATATATTTAGAAGAAGTTAGACGTATGTACAATAAATTCTTCACACTATAGATATTATGGACGTATCATAAACACTATATATATATAGTTATCTTCTTCTTGTCAAATATCCACTTAGGGCCTATTCAATTACTTTAGAATTTCAGTCGACAAGCTGAACTATCTTTGCTATTGCTATCACACTAGTATCCTGTGTGTGATTCACTTACAATTGTGGTGTGAGCTACCTTAATCGTTTGGTCTCCTTTCTTCAAAATATCCTCTGTTCCTTTTGTCAAAGTGCACTCAAGCTGATTCAATTGCTTTAGAACCACGCGTTGATGGAATAATTATTATTCTTATCTCCTTTTCTACTGTTATTCTTACTCTAACATTTTAAACCTTAGGCCTATCACTTTTACGGTAGTTAACTTCACGCCAAACTTTTCCTTGCCTGTAACTTTACTGTTTTCTGCTATTGTTTGTCTGCTGTTTCCACTCGTCTCACACTATTTATATGTTTATCACTTAATCGTCTGTCCACCTTCTAGAAATCTATATTCTCAACGTTAGTGTATTGCATGCGACAATCGACAGTCTTCATAAAATTGTCTGCTTTTAACTCTTATTATAACAAAAACTAAAGAATAATAAAATATTCACTCACAAAAATAATTAATAATATCTAAACTAAACCGTCTTTTATATCATGACACACTCCTTATAGTCAGCTTCAAGGATGGCTACTCTATCTGCAGTATATAAAATTTGCAATCACAGTGTTGGCTATAATTCAATACTCACTGTCAGCCATCACTTATTGCTGATCCATTGCTCAAAACTGAGCTTGGTGCTATTTTTTAATTAAACTATGGAGTAAACATTTCTGTTGTGGGAGACAGCCTAGATGTTTGTGTAACATGGGTGAAATTGATCTTGAAGTGGAAAAAAAGACTGATCATTTCAGCAGCATTGTGTCTGAAAGGGCAGGAACCCTATATATTTGAATAAATGATATGCAACATCAATACAGTTGCAACAGTAAGTTAATAATTGCAATGGGACATGTATCATGCCTGCCATATAAATGTTGAATTTCACCCACGGCCTGCATGCAGATATATACGTATGCCTGTAGTATATATATTAGGCTCTGTATAAACCACAGACTATGGCCCAATGGTTATATAGCTGCTGTTATTTGCTAGGTAGCCAAATAAGCTTGAAAACTATCCTTCACAATGTTTAATGATGCATTTAGTAATATTGTCCAGCTTTTATTATAACACTCTCAGCCATTTTTGCTGAAGGCTGGCAGAACAATATAAATTATGATAAAGAACAAATGGACGATCCATATTAGGAACCACTACTGTGGTTCTTGATATAGAATATTGTCATCGAAAGCTGTAATGAGTCATTTTAGGCCTTTATTGACACTCATTATTTCTGGCTAGAACATTTTCCATTATAATTTGAGGGTACAGCTTCGAACCTTATTATAAATTTTGAACTATTTTTTTTGTTTAATAAATTTTAACTTTTAAATGTTTATTTTATTTTACTGTGGAAGATTTTCTACAATT